GACGGACGGGGGAAGCTATTATTAGACGTAGCATCATTGTTGACTAATGTACCCGTAGCCGAAACAATAAACTACCTTTGTGACGTTATCCGCGACACGAACTACCCGTTAGGCATGTCGTTAGAGACGCTAAAAGAACTTCCGACACGGTGCACGCAAAAAGTCCAGTTTCTCTGCAATGATCAACTGTACAAGCAAATAGACGGCGTAGCGATGGGCTCACCGCTCGGCCCATCCCTTGCAAATGTCTTCATGGGCAAAGTCGAGATGACAAGTTTACAAGACACCATTAATGATTCAGCTTCTACGGTCTGTACGTGGGAGATATTTTAGAGGGAGGTCCAGTTTCCATCGTTTACTTGCTCGAAGATCGTCTTCCTTTTGTTTGTATCGCACATGCCTAGAAATGGCTATCTAATTGGAAATTCTTTCGCTTGCAGATCTTGCACTTGGTTTGGCGACTGGATCATATCAAGGATCTGTGCGAGCTCTGACGGTTTACTCACTTGCAGAGCAGCCTTACGTGCATTTCTTTCTGTCTGCGTTCTGCAAGCGACAAGTGTATGACAAATAATCAGCAAAATAATGACTGCTGTTTGCGAATCGATCGTCACAGTGTTCCCACGGCGGCTTGCTCACGCGCCTCTTATGTAATCCACGTTTACACTTACCGTTCATGGACTTCACTGTCCGCTGATTTGTTTTCCCCTGACAATTCACGGCCACTCATTATCACGCGTCGAATTTTCTGCGGCACCTTTTGCGGAATGACCTTGGCTTTCGGTACATACCTCCTATTGGTTGCAAAGGCAGTTTTTTTAGCTAGTCCTAGCTCTTTTCACCGCAGTGACCTTCCGCGGGTTGCGACAAATACGACGGGCTTCTCCTTGATTTTTCCTTATTATTTAACCTCAAAAACTTCCATTAATAACTCTTGGAAACGTAACATTTTGCTTTACTTAATTGTATCCTTCTACGCCGCCATCCATTTACCCCACCCATAAGACGCTCTTTACCACCGGTCCCGTCAGACAGGGACCTACAGGTTGGCTTGCACCTCCCAGACTACTAACTGCAATCTGACCCAATTAAAATTTCAAGCGGGCTACAAAATAAATAGTCCTTTGGTGCTTCAGCCAGTAAGCGGCAGATGACCAAACTAAACAGTCCGTTTACGCGTACCTCACACAACACGATCCCTAGTGCGTATACCAGGCAGCCGAAAGGGCGACTGGGTTGCAAAACTGACGGGAATTCGTGACTACGAGCCCTATGAAGGGCCGCATTGTGCCGTCGGCCAGTTTACTAAAATGTCACTACTGTTAGCGTATCGATGTGGATTCTAGCATGCCAGATTCATTATGCTGAGATATCCACTCATTAGCGGTGAGGAAGGCTACGTCCTTGCCGGTCTTATTTTGTCTTCTCTTCCCAATGCACCGGTGGACCGTTCAGTCAAAAAACATTGTCCTGACGAAGAAAGCAACCAAGCTTAACTAAACTACCTGTTTGAATTATTTTTCCAGAACGGTTACCCTAGAGATTTCGTACGTCGATGCATGAGACAACAAGTGTTAAAAACAAAAAACCAGATAGCTCTAATCAAGAGTCTTCAGCAAACACTTCAGATTGACAAAGTTGACAGATCCGGGATGATTATTACACAACGAAGGTGCATGCTCGTGGACTTTGCCACCCAAACGGAGCTTCCATGCTTCGTGAAGAAAATAGACCGACGTGCGCGCATTCCAGATCTAATATATATAAAAATTTGAAAGCAAATACGTTCTTTGGGAAAGGGAGAAAACATTACCCAGTAAATTTTCGACAAGGGTTCCCGGTATAATCCTCATACTAAATTAATAATGCAAAAAACAGTTCATATCTCCAGAGTGCTACAAAACCAATACTCATTTGGTGCATTAGCCAGTAAGTGGCCGTCGTATGCGTCAGTCTGTACTAATTGGCTTTCGTCTTCTCCACATTCTCCGAGATTTATGAACGTGGCATCTAGCTCGATGTGGCTATTGCTGCATGAATCATCGGAGGGCATGACTTCAAGAAACTTTCGGGCGTTTTTAGATGGGCACACTCCGACGATGGGAGTTTTGCTCAATGCGAAGTTGTACCCAGTATCATGGGTGTGCATGGCCATTTCAGATAGGTGGTCTCGCCTCTAAACTGTCAGCTGATGTTCGTGGGTGCGTGTAGAGTCAAATTTTCCCGTCTGGCCGCAATACAGGGGATCACAGGCATCGCATGGGATTTTATAGACGACTTCCTTGTTATCAAGCTAGCCAATCCTATCCTAAGGGTGTTCAAGCTGAGTGCGTAAAGTAGTCGTCGGCCTGTGCGCCACGTTTATCTGGTGTTTCCTCAAGTCGTCTCTCCTTACCGATATATAAATGCATATACATATGGCCTTTGGCGTACTGATGATCAGTAACGACCGTAAAACAGCTGTCTGCGTCTGGCCTGTTACATTCTTAGCGAGCTGCTTATGAATAATACATACAGTAGGTGCGCTAACTCATTAAATATTAACCGAAATTCAGAAGTGCGTTTTCGTTTTGAAAAGACTGGTTAAGTAGGGTTATAAAACTAATAATTATGCAGCATATGTAATTCTATAATAGTCGATTGCTCGAGACGCTGGGTTTCGAAAGAAGGTCTTTCTGCCGCATGCAAAAGCCGCACTCTGTGAAAAATGACTAATTACGTAGCATCCATTTTTCTGATTTATTTACGATGCCCTTAAAATTTCAACGAAATTTTATGGGAAACACGCATTCTTCAACTTATTTGATAGAAAACCACGTCTACTTCCAATTTTACACTCAAAAGCAGAGCGTAAATCGGTTTTCAAGAAGTTTCTTACTATAACATTGTCTAATACTGTAAAATGTCAGTTCATAAAACATCGTGCCTCAGCATTTGCTAACTTGGCCTGTAAAGTTAACGATCTAGTTCAAATCCACTGCCAAAATTTATGAACCTCATATGGTCTTCTCTTAATACCGTAGACAAATGTATCGCTTTCCGTAAGCGGAACGCAGATGTTTTGTAGTTTTTAAACACTGCTCGCAAGTGTAACAGCAGGTCGGGTTCAAAATTATTCGGGAATTGGAAAAGTTTTTGAAAACCGAATATACCGTTCCATCAAGTGAAAAATTGGAAGATGACATAATTTTCTTTCGAATGAGCAAAGACGATGAGTATTTTTATGCAAATTTTCTATGAAATATAATTGAATTTTCAAGTGCGTCGAAAATCAGTGAGAAAAATGCCTGCTTCTTAAGCAGTCATTTTCCACAGAGTGTGGTTTGCGCTTGCGGACATTTCTGGCTTCTTAGCCGTTGTCTGCCAGTCGTACCTAACCCTGAAGTGTGGAACACCTGGGGACTCGGACTCGACAGGACAACGGGCCCGTGGCTCAGTGGTCTGAGTCTTTGGACTGCTAACTAATAGGTCACTTTTTCGAACCCCAGGTGTTCCATACTTCGGGGTTGGGTATGACTGGCTGACAACGGCTAATAAGCCAGAGATGGCCATTCCAGTCTCCCTTGTTTTTGTCAGTAATGCCATTCTGCCTATATCATGCGCCGCTGTGCGGCTGCTGGTTGGGCTCGAGAGAGAGCCCTTAAGGCACAACGGAACGAGTGAGTTCGGTAAGAATGACTGGTGAGCGAGGTCGTTCTGCAGAGGCTCGAGCGACTGGGCTTCCGTTCGTACTCCCCAAAATTCTGGGCGAGATACGTCGACGACACATTTGTCGAAATCAAGAGGAACGACGTTCAGAACTTCAAAGTCTTGTTAAACTCAATATTCCCCGACATCCAATTTGCAATGGAAGAGGAGGACAACGTAATCGTCACAAGGATGGCTAATGAAGAGATGAAAACTACGGTATACCAAAAGGCGACGAATAATAGACACACCCTCCAATTCCGGAGTAACTACCCCATTGGTCACAAACGAAGCTGTGTCAGAGATCTTTCCAGCGAGTTCAAACACAATGCAATGACAACAACGAGAGAAGGGAGGAAGTGAAATAACCACATTCCCTATTCACAGCCACGCAGAGACCAAAGCCAATCCCCAGCCAGTGACCGGGTCAGAGTTTGTGTATCAGGTATGCCTACAAAACGAGACAGGCGGTGAGACAGAACAACTCTGGGCTAGCAGGAACAAACACCCAAACACTACTCTGATGATGGAAACGAGAAAGTTTCCGAAACGCAGCACTAATACAGTGTGATCCATGTCATCGCCTCTTTTCTTTCTTCGTCTTCTTTTGGGTATGGTGAACGGGATAATCTATATGGACCTCGTATCCTCACTCATGTTGGTATATATATCTATATGAATAACGGAGGTAGTATGCATTCCGAGACGATATAATAAAAGGAGAAGGCTCGTCAGAAATTGAGGTTAACTCGTGAATTTTCAAGTCGGTTACACCAACACGTCGCCTGACGAAATGAGGTTTCATTGACAAAACAGACGTCTGTGTGCGTGTGTGTCGGGGTGTTAAGGTGTCAGCGGTGGGTTCACGTGATGGTCGTAGTGGTCGCTCACTTGCTTGCTGTTGAGACTACGCCTAGCGTCCACTTGCTGGCACCCAACTCTCACCTGTGGCTCCACTTAGCTGGGCTCTGCTCAGCGGCCACACCCCGGGCAACCGTCTCGACCGGCGGGCTAAACCAGGTGAGGGCGCCCTGTGCGCTGTTCCGTGTGCACAGGGTTTGCGGAATCCGCTGGATGGAAGGTCGGATGGAACCTTGCGTAAGCACCTTCCTGACGTGGTTCGTCTTTGGACGCCGCTGGACAGCCGGTGGCGGGATGGATCTCCACATCGACATCGTCTTGACGCGCTGACCTACGCCCTCGGAGACCGTGGCTTACGGCGAATTCGAGTCGCTCTCCACTTCAACCCGAAATCGTGGTCCCATAGTTGAGTTCGGCCGTGCCACAACGGCACATGGCAGCCCTACTCGGGGATGGGATCCGGTTACACCTTCTACTGGAGTGGTCGACCCAGGGCAGAGCGACGAGACGCGGGTGTCGCCTTCGCTAGCTGGACCGACATCGTGGGACGACTGCCCTGTTTGCCGCAGGGCATCAACGATCGCCTGATGAGCCTCCGTCTGCCTCTCCGGGGTGGGAGTGAATTCGCCACCATCATCAGCGCCTACGCTCCGCCGATGAGCAGCCCCGAGGCCGCCGCAATGGACAAATTCTACGAGGACCTGCATGCCCTCTTGGCGACTGCGCCGAAGGCGGACAAGTTGATTGTCCTTAGTGACTTCAACGCTCGCGTCGGCACAGAGCATACTGCCTGGAGAGGTGTGCTGTGTCCCCATGGTCTCCATGGTTTCAACGACAATGGTCTGTTGCTTCTCCGCACCTGCGCAGAACACCGCCTCATCCTGACGAACACGTTCTTCTGTCTGCCGGAGCGAGAGAAGGCCACCTGGAGGCATCCTCGGTCGCGTCGATGGCACCTGCTAGACTATGTCCTCGTCCGAGGCGAGATCAGCGAGACGTGCTGGTGACGAAGGCGATCGCGGGTGCTGACGGGTGGACTGACCATCGCCTCGTCATATCGAAGATGCTTATTCGCCTACAGACTCGCAGGAGACCACAGGATAAGCGACCCCCAGGTAAGCTGAATGTTGCCTTGTTGTCTTTGCACGCTCACCATCTTCATTTCAGTAATGAGCTAGCTCAACGGCTAGACAACATTCCAGTCGCTGCCGCTGACGACGCCGCTGCCGAGAACGCCTCCGTGGAGAACCGCTGGTGTCAACTGCGAGACACGGACCAACGACGCCGCCATCAGAAATCTTCTCGCCGAGAAGAACCGCCTACACAAAGCCTACGTAGATCATCCCACTGATGCCACCAATGCTGCCTTTTACCGCAGTCGACGCCAACTTCAGCAACGGCTACGCCAGATGCAGGACGCCTGGACTGCCCGCAAAGCTGAGGAGATCCAAGGGTACGCGGACCGCAACGAATGGAAGAACATCTTCTCTGCGATCAAAGCTGTCTACGGTCCGCCGACGAAGGATACTGCTCCTCTCCTCAGCGCCGACGGTAGCACTCTTCTGACTGAGAAAACGCAAATCCTACAGTGATGGGCCGAGCATTTCCGAGGCGTCCTCAACCGCCCCTCCGTCATCTCCGACGCCGCCATCGAGCGTCTGCCGCAAGTGGAGACCAACGTGGACCTCGACCTCCCGCCATCTATCCAGGAGACCATCAGGGCCGTCCAGCAGCTCTCCAGCGGGAAGGCACCCGGATCGGACGCAATCCCTGCTGATGTCTACAAGCACGGAGGTCCCCAACTGCTGGATCACCTGATTGCGCTCTTCCAGGAGATGTGGCGTCAAGGCGAAGTCCCACAAGATTTCAAGGACGCAACCATCGTGCATGTCTACAAGCGTAAAAGGCAATCGCTAAATCTGCGACAATCACCGTGGCATCTCCCTGCTAAACATCGCCGGGAAGATCTTCGCTCGCATCATTCTCAACCGCCTCAATAATCATCTGGAATAGGGCCTTCTGCCGGAAAGCCAATGCGGCCTCCGTCGTCATCGTGGGACCACGGATATGATATTCGCCGCCCGTCAACTACAGGAGAGGTGCCAGGAGATGCGGACCCACCTGTACTCTACCTTCGTGGACCTGACAAAAGCCTTCGACACGGTGAATCGTGAAGGACTGTGGAAGATCATGCAGAAATTCGGCTGTCCGGAACGATTCACTCAGATGGTGCGTCAGCTGCACGACTGTATGATGACGCGAGTAACGGACAACGGAGCCGTCTCAGAGGCATTCGCAGTGACCAACGGAGTGAAGCAGGGATGCGTGCTGGCGCCTACCCTCTTCAGTCTTATGTTCTCTGCCATGCTAATGGACGCCTTACGTGATGAACGCCACGGTATCCACGTCGCCTACAGGACGGACGGCCACCTGCTGAACCAACGGCGGATGCAATTCTAGTCGCACGTATCCACAACCACCGTGCACGAACTCCTCTTCGCCGACGACTGCGCCCTGAACACCACCTCGGAAGAGGAGATACAACACAGCATGGACCTGTTCTCCGCCGCCTGCGAGAACTTCGGTCTGGTCATTAACACGCAGAAGACGGTGGTGATGCACCAACCGCCACCCAACTCAGCCACAGTCCCCAACGCGCCGCCGCAAATCAGAGTGAACGGAACCCAACTGCAAGTGGCGGAGAACTTCCCGTACCTGGGCAGTACTCTCTCCCGCAACACCAAGATCGATGACGAAGTCGCCAACAGGATCTCGAAAGCCAGTCGAGCCTTCGGTCGCCCCCAAAGCACAGTTTGGAATCGTCACGGACTTCAACTGAGCACGTAGGTGAAGATGTACAAGGCCGTCATCCTGCCGACGCTACTGTATGGAGCGGAGACTTGGACGGCTTACGCAAAGCAAGCACGCCGACTGAACCACTTCCAACTCAGTTGTCTTCGTCGCATCCTGAGACTGAACTGGCAGGATCGAATCCCCGACACTGATGTGCTGGAACAAACGGGAACCCTGAGCATCTACGCCATTCTGAGACAAATGCAACTGCGTTGGAGCGGCCACCTGGTGCGCATGGACAACGAGCGACTACTAAACGACTCTTCTACGGAGACGTCGCGATGGGTTCTCGCCGTCAAGGCGGCCAGATTCGCAGTTACAAGGATACCCTGAAGTCCTCCCTGAAGCGCCGGCAAATCAACACGGCCAACTGGGAGGAGCTTGCACTCGATCGACCAACATGGAGGAGGACAATAAAGAGAGGCGCTGCGATCTACGAGGTCAATCGCATCACTGCCGCCAAGGCGAAACGTAAAGCCCGCAAATCCCAACTTCGCTCAGTACGCAACGCCGCCGCACAAACGCTTCCAACGTGTCCTCGACGTCAACGGACATTCCGGGCTCGAATCGCACGTGTCGGACATCTTCGATTCAACTGCGTCTCTCGAACTGCACCAACCATTGTCCCCCACCCGCCTCTTCCTCATCGTCTCCGCCGCCAACTAACTCTGACAATTCTTCTGAACCGCCACCACCATCCTCCTCCTCCTCCTCCCCCTCCTCCTTCTCAAACTCCTCCTCCTCCTCCTCCTCCTTCTCCATTGCACACACGAAGGCCGTTCAGGCGACTGTCACGCGCGCAACACCCGACACCACCACCACCACGACCTCCCCCGACTCCAGCGATGAGAATCAGGACTACACCTGCCCTCACTGCGACCGCACCTTCACCTCATACATCGGCCTGGTCGCTCACTTGCGAATCCATCGCACAGAGGCTGGCGAACCAGTGCCTGGAGCACCAACCTACACCCACCAAGCTCGTCTCCACTGTCCAAAATGCCCTCGCACCTTCATGCATCGCATGGGCCTATTCGGCCACATGCGCATCCACGCCGACCTGCGGTAGACAACCGCCGGCCACACCACACATTCACTCACTCCCTACCTCCCATCACCATCACACCACCAGACATCAACACTCCGACACCTCATGCACTCAACTGCCACCTCCCATGCAATTGGGAAGTGTGCACCTCGACCCGGTCCCCATGCGGCTTCGGCTGCACGGGTGACTTGTGTCCGAGACTATCCCCACACGTCAAGCGTCGTGGATAGGAAGGTTGCTGATTGTGGACCGCTCTCGGTTAACGCAGTTCGTCGCGTTGTGCGTGTGCATGTGTGTGTTGTGTGGAGTGGCGGACTGGTGGGCTGGGGACGAGCTAAAGCAGTACCTTCCACGGCACTCTCACGCAAATGAGAGACGCCGTTCAACTCCCATTGTGTGAAATCCTGGTGTTTGTGTGTATAGGGGGCCAGGTCGTGCTGTGGTGCACGCAGGCATGGTCAGTCGACCGTGTCAGCCACCGCGCCCATTTCTACTCGAGTCTACTGACTGGCTCGGACAGCGGCTGGGGTGCGAGGATGGGAAGAGAGAGTGAGGTCGACGACTCAGCGAACTTCCTCCTTACTATAATCAATCTGACGCACTTGAAGCTATCACGGTGAGCTAAAAGCCGTGGCTTGGAAGGTTGCCAACTGACGGGATAACTTCGACCTCCTCCTTAACGGGAGGCGGTCTGAGAGTCAGGCTGCAATGGCTCCTTTTTAATGTGGCCTTAATGGCACTCTTACTACAGTGTGGGATCCAAACCAGGCGTTGGCGGCACGCCTAGGTGCGGCTTCGGCCGTGCCAGCCTCCAAATCTCTGTTGTGTTGGTTAAAATCCTGGTTATTGTTGTGTGGACCAGGGGGTGTGGTGGAAAGCCAAGGTGAGGATACGTCCGAGCCATCCACCTGCGGCCTCCCTCGTCTCCGGTCTTCTTGACTCCGTCTTGAAACCGGGCCCAGGCGGGAGAGGAGGAGAGCGTGTAGGTAGATGCAGCGCAAGTCTACCGGCAGTATAAACCCCTGCGCAAGTCACCGTCCCTGCTCCCACAATGCAGTCTGTGGGGCACACGGTGGACATCGTCGAAATCGATGATCGAACTGTCGTGTGGGTGGGGGGTGAAGAACGTGTTTGGGTAGGTGGCGTACGTAAGGGGAGGTGTTGAGGGTTTCACGCATGATTCACTCTGTGTGGGAGATGCTGAATCCATGATATTCTACATGGCCGAACACGGATTAGCAGCTGGTCTTAAGGTGGGCGCAATTCGGCGAACCGTGAACGCAAACTTTCGTAGTGAGCGTCCAAGTCGACATGGCGGTTGATGCTATTGTTATTGGAGTGCCAAGCTTTTAGGAGCTCTCGCGCCTGTTTGGTGATGGCACTGGCGATCACTTCAGTCCCCTTCCAGTTGAAGCAGTGATCCCACGCAAGGGTGTGCGCAAACACGAGAGACAAGGGGTATCGTCGGCGGATGGCCAACTTATGTTCGTTAATGCGAGTCCCAAGCCGTCGGCCAGTATGCGAAACATAAACGCTAGAGCAGTTTGCACATGGAATGCGGTAAATGACATTTGCCTGCTGCTCATTCGGTATGGGATCTTTTACTCGGGATAATGTGGTGCGCAATGAAGACGCCGGTTTGTGGGCGATGGAGATGCCGAATTAATTTAATTGTCGAGCGATCGTTTCGGAAATTCTAGGCATGTAGGGCAGGGAATAGAATTTCCGTGATACCCCGTCTCCGTTGGAGTCGACGCCTTGTGGTTGCCCCTTGCGTCTCAGACAATTTTTCACAAAGCTCACCGGGTAAACGTTGAGTCGGAGAAAACAATAAAGTAAGCCAGTTCTTTCTTAAGTAAATCGGCACTACTGCAGAAACGATAATTCCTGTGGAAAAAGGGCCAACACAGCTTCTTTTATATATATACATATATATGTTGAAAAGAGACGGGTTCTTTGGGACAAGAGGGATTATTGCGTAAATTTTCGACGCTGGTTCCGTAGTGCCGTAAACAGTCTGCTAAGTCGAGCAAAAACACATTGTTCGGATGAAGAAGGCTATCGAGCCGAAGTGAATTACTTATGCGAATTATTTTCGCAGAATGGATACCCTAAGGATTTCGTACGGAGATGCATGAGGCAGCGAGAATCAAGGGAGAAGGCGCCGGGTAGTACCAATCTGACGACTGAATTAAGCACTTGGCGAACGCTTCCTTACATTAAGAATGTGTCTGAACTCGTCGAAAGACACTTATGGTAACACCAAATTCGAGTGGCGCACAAACCTACGACTACTTTGAGCTCTCAGCTGGTACATCCTAAGGGTTCATCAGCTGGACAAGAAAAAGGTCGTCTACAAGATACCCTGTGATGCATGTACTGCCGTCTATTGTGGCCAGACTGGAAAATCCGCCTCAACACGCATACATGAGCACCAGTTGGCAGTAAAGAGGCGAGACCATCTGTCTCAGGTAGCCATGCATACGCTGGACACCGGGCACACATTCGCTTGGGACAAAGCTCGCGTTGTCGCGGTCTGCCCTTTCAAGAAAGGCCGAGAATCCCTCGAGGCGATGCACTCCAAAAAATATTGCTAATAGAAGCGAAGATGCGGTCCCCGGACATAAATGAGAAGAAAAGGCGATCTCGGGCACCTTAAAACGACGGTATATAGGAAGGCCACTTATACGCGCCAAATCCTTAGCTTCCACAGTAAGCACCCGTTAGGCCACAAACGCAGTTGTGGGCGAACACTCTACAGAAGGGCAGAAACACACTGCAGCGAGCCGGACGACAGAAGGTCAGAACTACACTACCTCCGGCTCTTCTTCATGGCCAACGGGTATCCTCGCAACTTCATCGAACGCGGCAGACAGGCCAGACCGGGCCGACGTTTGGTGACAGAACAACCAACAATATGGCGGGCGCTTCCATACCTCGACGGCGTTTCTGAGGCCGTCTCGCGTCTCTTAAGACCGCTGAAGATCGGCATCGCCCACCGACCGGAGTCAACAATTCGACATCTGGTCCTGAGACCTAAGGCCCGTCTGCCAATAGGTGAGACCACAAACGTCATCTTCCGGATCCGGTGTAACTCCTGCAAAGTCAACTACATTGGGGAGACCGGCAAACGGCAAACGGACACACGTTCGCCTTCCAGCGTGCCGAAATTCTGGGCCGGGGAAACGATCGCATAGCCAGGGAAACAATCGAGGCTTGGCACACGGGGACAACCTCCACCAACCGCTGTGTTGCTCTTCCCGCTGCCTATCAAGCCCTTCGAGCGCAGCTCAGTAAACAAATGAGCAGACGTGCACCCAGGCTAAACATTAATCCAGACATGAGCGAGTCCACGGCGGATACACACCCAACCACCCCTCAACCGGGTTCCGACGAAGGCGCAGTGCTCACCACAGCCGGTCCATCTACTAGTCCGGCGGACGAGAAAACGGACAGTCGTTGCGGCGTAAACAAGATTGCCAGGCTTGGACGACAGCTACGCTCAATGGAGGTACGAACGACGACCACCAACGTCTCAACGCCGGCCTCCGATGTAGATTGAGTACATTCCGTCACCCTCCCTCCCTCCCCCCCCCGGGCCGTCACAGTTCATGTGTGCATGCGGCTGATGACCACTAAAGCTGATCCACTACCCCCTTATCCGGCGAAAAGACGCTCTAGGACTCCCCCCGCCCCTTCCCTCCTGCCGCCCTGACTTCATATGTAAGAAAACCCGTTTTGACATGACTTTCACCCACCTATAAATACTGCGAGGCGCGATACCACACTCACCTCCGACGATGGAAGCTTGTATGCTTTTGAAACGTCAGGACAGTAAAACAATGGTTCCCGAGATCGCCTTTTCTTCTCATTTATGTCCGGGGACGCGCATCTTCGCTTCTATTATATATTTATATATTTATATAGGAAAAAAGAAATAATGACGATCTCTGGGTACAGTTTAATTGTCTAACGTATTGTACTCGTACTCGAGCGCAACATTGGAGATAGACAGAATGAGGTATAATCGGTTTGAAAAGTTCTTTCGTGCTCGCACCTAGTAGATCGCTATACCTTCCCCATCTCAGCATCTGCGATCAGCTTTTTTGCCTATATCGACATATATGCCCCTGCATACAGGGACTTCGCGTGTTGCAGTGGGACAACTCGGAGAAGACGAAGAACATTTGCCTGAGAGCTGTTCATGCATGGCGAATGCCTTGTTGGATAAATGCGTGCTGATTGGGTCTAGCTTGCGGTGATCCGCGCATGTGACCATATAAGCCCATACGATGAATGCACGTGGGAAGACAGTGCGGGAGACTTAATCGGATGCGACGGGTAAGTGTTTGTCTGATCTGCGTGCATTGGTCCGTTTGCCTAAGTGTTGTGGAGTATCAAGTGACTGACCAGACCCATGCCCTATCGCACCGAGGACAATTTGTACCTAGTCCAGGTCGCCGGAAATGTGATCGGTGGTGGAGAGGGTATTGGTTAATTGTGCGCCGAGAGTGTTTTCACCGGTGGGAGGATTGGACGAGGTAGTTGTCGTGGCCGCAGAGGATGTGGAAGGGAGGATGGAGTTGGCGGTATTAGAGCCTGACAATCAACCAGTAATGGAGTTGTGCAAGGTTGCTAATGGCCCACGTCTAAAGCATACCAATGCGCGGATATAAACTAACAGTAATGGCCTCACGCAGACTGCGCAGTTCGATAAAAGCATGCGATATCCGCTTTGCTCCAGCGCATCTACAAAAGTCGATTGTTGTGGCAATCTCGACGATGACAAATCTAAAAGGACAGTATTTCTAACCTAACCTACACAACACCTCCCTTATCAGGGCGTGGTGGCCTAGGGAGAACATGACAGGTGGTCTGCTAGATGTTAGGGTACGGATAACGGATATACTTAGGGGTTTGGGGTAAGGCCTTAGGCATGGACTTCGTGCTGGTGGTTAAGATACGCCGCGTGCGATACTATGCCCATCACGACCTAGAGGCCCGGTACCGAATGGAAAGAGAAGGCGGATGCCAGCGGGAAGGATGATGCACTCTGTACAGAATAACTGGAGGAGCTGGGGAGAGTTGGTAGCCGGACGAGGACATGTCCAGTGCCGAGTGCAGAGACTAACCGAAGGCCCAGCGTTGAGACAGACGCTCGGAGTAGAGACCCTACAACGCTACGACGCTTGTCGCCTTTAAATGTACTAGTCGCTGGCGTCGCGGAGGTTGGGTCTGACGATGCGTAACTTCGTAACTCCCTCCTCCTCCTCCTCCTATGCACCTGGTCACCACAGGTCGAGACGAGTTTGCCTGGTCCATCTAGTCGGTAACCTCGGTTTCCATTTTTTCTTCCTGCTTAAAGCACATAATTGCCAACACCACCGATCAGACTTTTGCGTTTTTAGGCATTGCTGGTGTATCCAAGCGTTGAGCAACGTAAATGTATGTTTCCCTTCAGGTTTACGAATATACCTATCTTTGCATTTCAAAGACATCATTCATAAAACCTTTATGACCGCCACTGCACTATCACAGGTGTCCTTGCTTCCTGTTTTCTGAGTAGGCCCACCAGCCCGTTCGCAACCGACATGCGTAGGTTTGTGATTCTTCACCGACGGTTCCCAAGAACTATTCTAGTTGGAATTTAAACTGACACCCGCTTGAGTGAAATAATTTGGATCACACTGACGACACCACTATCTCCGACTATCTACGGTAAAAATTTGGTTGACCCACGCACAACATTTGTTGCCTTCTTCAACACTAGTGCGGTGCCGCTGTTGCAAACAAATTCCCAGAAGGCGGTGGAATGATCGAAACAGGTCTTCGAGACGTGGAGTTGCCCTCGCGGCCTTGACATTCCGTCTCGTCTCCAGGGGGCGAAACAAATCACCAAGGAATGTTGTTGGCAATTCATCCTACGAGAGTATTAACTTAAACTACATCAGGCATGACCGCAGCTGTACGTAGCTCCTACTGACTCTGATGTCCCATTCCCAAGTTTGTAATTGGCACAGAAAGGAAATTTGAAGCATGATAAGTATATGAGTTGCTTTAATAGAAGTATAAAAATATGCGTATCTAACGGATTTTTCTTTAAGCTAAATGCTCGAAAAAATTGGCAAATTTTAGCACAGAGTAAATGCTCGTTTGATGCGTTTTAAAGAATCAATTTTTCTGGGATCGGACCAGGTCCAGAAGTCAAACTTCTTGCGAGATGACATGGACCGACTTGATGGCGGGACGAACTCCGTGACTGATACGCCTTGCTTATCACCGTAACCTCCAATGAGAAGAAGGAAAGTAGACACTAATTAATTCCAACCGAAGTTTCATTAAAAGGGGATAGCTGGGTCGTGTCACCGATCAAAACAACCAAAGAAGTTGGGAAGGAGTAAGAAAGGGAAGAAGGGATGTATGTGGAGAGGGATGGACACATAACTACCGTTGGCTCTGATAGTGCGCTGGTGGAAAGGCCGTTTTGGCCGATAGATAAGTCGTCGGTAAAATTATGAATCCTCGACCAAATTGGCCCAGAGGATTTCATTAAGGGAACTTGGCTCGATCGGCCCGAAACAACACCTCATCTATTGCCGAGGGTTCTTAGGATTGTAGGAGTATTCACATATCCTGGAGAACAGAGCCGAGCCAACCTTCCAGCTAGCTGCTCTTAACTCACTTGCACCGCAGACCAACACGAAGCATTGAATATAATTAAAACAATACGCATGAAGTAGGAAAGGAATAAAAGGTTCCAACTGCCTCAACCGTCCGTCGCATCGGGTTGGCATCGACTCTTGACTGTCTCATTAGGGACGAAATCTTGCAGTTTACCTGGAAGTTAATTCCCAGGGAGCAGTCCAATTAAACGCCCAGACTCACATTCAGTCACAGTCATCAGTGCATCACCTATAGCGACAGCAGTGGATAAACCGAGAAGATAATGTGAACGGAGAAACATAACACCGTGAGTTCACATAGACCTTCGATTGTTTGAAATAACTTTTTAAGCCGCATTTAGCGCTAATGCATACATTGTCTCCTATCTGGCTTTTAGACAATAACTTGACCGGAGATCCCTAAAACCGCCATCTTCTCCAGCTTAAGAACAGTAATCACCAGTTGCCCTATTATGGAAGAAATACGCTCGACGACACATCGGCGACTGTCATCTATCGAAAAAGCTCCTCTTGTGCTGTAGAATCGACAGTCGTGCACAACTATCTACCAGGTCGCATCAAATATAGATACAGAAGATCTGCTTACTCATGAAATGTCAACCAAAATTTCAAAATGCGTTCTCGTTTCGAAAAAAATAAATTAAACAATGTTGTAAAACTAATCATTATGAAGCATAAGTCTATATTATTCCAGTTACCTCAGGGTGTCGGCTTTCGAACGTACTTATTTTCCGTTGCATGCAAGATCTATACTCTGCAAAAAATGACTTCTTAAGTAGTATGCAATTTTCTCATTGATTTTCGAAGCCCTTAAAATTTCAATTATATTTCAATGAAAACATGCATAAAAATATTCATTCTGTTGCTTATCCGGTATAAAATCACGTCGTCTTCCAATTTCATACTCAAACGAAGAGTACAATTCGGTTTTAAAAAACTTTTCTTATTCCCGAATAATTTTGAACCCGACCTGCGGTTACGCTTGCATTCAGGGCTTCAAAACTACAAGCTGTTTTTTTTCCGTGTACGGAAAACCATGCATTTCTCTACGGTTTTAAGAGGAGAACATATGCAGTTCAAAAAATTAAGCAGTGGATTTGAGCAATATTGTTAACTTTAAAAGCCACATTCGTAAATGCAGATACATTACGTTTCATGAATGGCCATTTAACGGTATTAAAAAATCTTAAGGGCTTCGAAAATCAATGAGAAAATTGCAAACTACTTATGCAGTCATTGTTTGCAGAGCATAGATCCTGCATGCAGCCGACAATAAGTTCTTTCGAAAGCCGACACCTTGAGGTAACTGGATCATTATTGATTTTATGCTACGTCATGATTAGGTTTACAACACTACTGTATTTATCTTTTCGAAACAAGAACGCATTTCGAAATTTTGCTTGACATTTCATGAATAAGCACATCTACTGTAGTTTATGAATGAAAACAACCTTATCATGTCGGACAAAGTACCGTCGACTGGTATCACGCAATTTGTCCCGTTTCGGCCAGCCACAGGACGGAGCAAGCTCACAGAGTCTGATCGATATTGGGTACTTCAGCCTTCAGAATGCTTTGTCTTTTTAATGAGGCAGCATACTACAAAAACTAGGCAATTCCCAATCGTTCAGTCGGACGCAAAAAAGCTAGGCTAAAAGAAATACGCAAAAGCATAGTTGTCATTGAACAAGGGGAAAGTGGAACGATAATACCCCGGGTTATTTTACGCTGTCTCCATACAGTCATAGTCCAGCTCAAAACCACGCTAGCGTGGGGTGAATTATGGCTCGACTATATGAAAGACCAGATGACCGAGGACTTCAACGTTCAGAACCACGTGCGTTGATAAAGCCATTTCGACAGTCCAAAGGTCGGGGTGCCGCGTAATGAGACTATGGGGAGTAGAGGTACTCCCGGTTTATGCAGTTTTGGCAGCCCGCCTTCACAGCAGGGGTAGATAGCCAGCCGGGTGTCAGACGACTGAGGCGAGACCGATCCACCGACGTCCCCAAACAGCCGACCGCGATTCCCACATGCAACGGCAGCTGATCAGCCCGTCAAATTATGGGGGGAGGGCCCACGGGCACACGGACCTAGCAGCAACAACAGTGGCCGGGCAGGGGGCAGAGGTCACACCAGCGCCCCAGCGGTCGGCCACGTGGAGACCTAAACAAATCGCCCGCCAGCAAGCAGGTCAGAGTTCGTGTATCAGACATGCCTATAACAAGAGACAGGCGGCGAGACAGAACAACTCTGGGCTAGCAGGAACAAACACCCTACCACTACTCTGATGATGGAAACGAGGAAGTTTCCGAAACGTCAGCACGAAAACAGTGTGGTCCATGGCATCGCCTCTTTTTCTTCTTCGTCAGCTTTTGGGCATAATGAACGGGACGTATATATATGTATATATAAAGCCTATATGTCCCTATACGGTTCAGACCACGTGAGCCGTGTGAGACGGACTTAAGCCGAGGGTTTCGCAATGAAAGTGGATCGCCGTTGCACGAAAATGCACTGACAAAAGTACACTGAACCAGACTGTCCAGCAGTGCCCTTCCGATCTTTTAGTTGTGATAAGAATACGGGGGGAATGCCTAAAAGGATGAAAGTAGCAGATTGCATTAGACCATCTTGACAGTCAAACGCCTCATGATCAGTAGCCCTTCAGTCGATCTGAGGCCGTCTCAAGGACAGTAAATTCAAGTCATTGGGGAGGCAGGACTGTGGACTTACGGAAACGAAATAGTCTGTCCTGGTGAACTGCGAGAGCAACAAAAGACTCATTCAAGGTACTATTAGTGAGGAATGTCCACTGTCCCAAGGGTCGCCGGTTGTCGGGCGGGACGAAGACATCAACTCGTACTGAAGAATGATACATACTGTTGATGATCCAGGCAACAAAGATGCCGCCCTTGAATGCCACTGCTGTGCGTGGGTTATTTGCGTATATCATGGGAGCAGCAGCCTTCCAAAAGCTGTCCGATGACTTTCCTGGTCCGCGCCAGTCTGCTGGTTCTCGTAAATGACACATCTCCACAGTGGACAACGATTTGCCACTACATTGGCCGCCAATCACAAACACGCGACCGTCCGGCAGTGCAACAGCGGTAGAGTTTTGCCTTTTTTCTTTTAAACCAGGTAGTTTATACCATCTGAAATGAGGGCGACGGTAAAAAGGGTGATTCAGTTATGTCACTGCAACGGTGGTCTACTTATGAGAATCCAGTCAGCAGGGCAATTGCAACGAACTTAAAGCCGACAAAAAGCGCGTTTAGAAACGTAACACAGGCGGGGGGTGTCAGATGATATGAAAACTCTGCCACCTATTGAATCGAGGACCAGGCTGCAATGGCTACTCATTAATGTGTCATTCGTTGCTCCTACTACTGAGATTTAGGCACGTACGCGTAACGTGGTAGGCGAGAGCGGTTTCAATGCGTCCGGTCTGGACTTAAAGCAGTTCTTAACGAACGGGCTGCTGGCACATGGGTGAGGAGAAAATGAGGTCGATTCAGTGTTCGGCTTCCTCACCATAAAATTACATACAGGCTTCTAAACCTTCAAGCTTCAGAAGGATGCCACCTGATCAAACTATTCGGAACTACCCAGAACTGATGTACAGCCCGAAATAGCTTTAGTATAAAATTCATCGCAGTCTAACCAGTATGAGATCTGAGACCCCCAAAGACGCCTAGCTATATTTATTAGGGCCACTTTTGAGTCTCGAAGAGTGGGGTGGGGTGGAGTGGAGATGATTGCCCCACTTCTGAAGGTTTTGGCAGGTTTTATGGCCTCAAATCTTACCAGTAGGTCGCCGTCCTTAACCACAAATTTCAATCAAACCACTCTTCTTAGGAAAATGCCCAGTGCAGTAAAAGTCGCTCAGATGCAGTTGGTAGCATCAAACATTTTCGCGTTTTGGGCACTTCATGTGCACACTTCTTTAGTCGAAATTTTCAGCCAATTTCATGTATTCTTAGACCAAATGTACAGTTTCGGCAAAAACTGCCGAATCAATATCGCTTAATCCTTAATGAACTTACAAGTAACGCCTGTGGAACCTGAGAAAGAATACGGAAGAAATAGACTATTAAACTACACCAGAGACCTTTCTGATTTTCAAAAATCTTAAGGACTTTCGGTCAGAAAGTGAGATCATATTAATGGCTGTAGACGATTGCCTTTGACTAAAGCCAAGTCTGAGCAAATAGAGGCCAAGTTAAGACAGGAGATTAATCGGAGGATAGACGCGGTGTCTTAATGCAGCGCGTAATGCCCTGAGGCCTCGAGTCTGCGAGAAGAGCACAGTTGATTAACAACCATCCCACTCATACGGCAGAAAAATTCATTCAAGCCTGCCTCCTTTTTGGCGGTGAACACAATCGACATGTACTTTATTATGCGGCTACCACAGCCAGCATACTCACTTGTCTTCATGTGGAGAGTAGACTTCACATGTGTCGAGACACTGGTACTGACTGTTCTCTCCTCCGAAGACACAAATCACCTTTTCCTGCCCGACTGGGACGACAACTGCCGCATGTTCTAGGCGTCCCGTGGAGAGCGGCGCACATTCCCTCCACTGAAGTTCCTTAGTATCAAATTTGTCAACATTTGGAAGGCTGCCGTCATGTGAATTTCCTCCAATCGCGAAGATGCAGCCTGTTTCCAATGCAATAAGAGGCGAAGTGAGGAGATACGAAAACGAGTGTCAAGGACATCAACGAAAGGCGTCGGCTGTGTGAGAAAAAATGCATGAAAAGGCGATAAATTACCCCACAATGAGTGTTCTCATTAAGTCAGAGGATCTGGCACAGACATGCTGCTTTACAACGACTACCGCTCTTGTACCACAGGCTTATACAATAGCAAAAGATTTCTGGCCAGTATTCGAAAGACTATGTTTTATGTGCGAAACACTGTCATCCCTTATGAATTTGCCGAGAAACGAATGTCTAAACAGAACAACCGCAGACAGATGGTTGTCAAGATTGGCATATGTGAACTGCGTTCAGTATGCAAGTACACAACGGACGAATAACATTCGCTAGGGCAAAATCGAGGACGGTTGGAACAGCATGTGGTATTGGTCGGGAGAATATCAGTGTTGCCTACAGTCATCATGGCTGCCTGGTGTCCCCGCCCAAGGCCTCGCCGCCTCAAGGTCATTCACCCCCTTGCAGCGAGCCGTTTCACACGCGCTGACCTGAAGCCACTCGACCGACTTCAGCTCCGACATACCTGCCCCACACAGTCGTACACGACCATCTGAACCTGTCTTCCCGCCGGTAATCATAAGACAAGCCACTTAACGACTAGCCCCCTCTGCAAGTCCGCGTTCCACATCTATTCCAGGTGACAGTCAAAAATAAACAAAGACATGTATGACAGCTGACAGGCCTCCCAAAAAGTTCCCAATAAGTTCCAATGGACGAAACTCACTCTCAATGGCAACGAAAACTCCGCCATACGAACGTGTTACATCTGCTAGTGGCTTCGAAGTGTTTGCGTCGACATCGTACTCGACCAAGTACTTCCAACCAGTTTCTGCTTTCTCGACGAGGCAGATGCCACCCAGAGGCCTTCTGCGTTTATCATTAAACGGACACTCTCTATCCACTCTCGAGGACGGATGTTCGATCCAGGTGATTGCGCGACCTATAAGGTTTCTCAAATAATTAAAGAGGTTAGAAAGGCTTCCGCGACTTACAAACATCCCACACATTTATTCCAGAAGCCTTCTTCATTAAATAGTCTGCATCTAAAGTCTGCATCAACTTGCTTCCATCGCACTTCTCGCAGCATCGCCTCCGCGTGCACCAGTCGCGTTTCTTTAACTTCGTCAGGTGAACTTACCCAAAGCCCAATCGATTTGAAGACGATCTCCTCACTCTCCACGATGAGGTCATCTGCACTCAGTATGGACAAGACAGCGTCAGCTGGCAGCTCGATGAACAAGTCACTCGCAACCGTGGCTTCAAAGTTTGTCTTTATGTGCTGAAAACAGGCGTTCATTAGCTGTTCGCTCTTAAGCAACTGTGCGAGGTCCCAATATTTTTTTATGTTTTCGGCGTTGAACCTGGGAGTTCAAGAGAGTTCGGTAACACCTACCTGGCGGCCATAAAACTCACCGCCCACTCTTCCACCTGAGGCATTACGAGTTGCTGCGACAGCACAATCAGACCAGTAGCATTGGCCTCATTGACTTCCAGCTGGCCCGTGTAGACATAATCGATTAGCGGTCTAGCGACTCTGGGCAGCAGTTGAAGTATAACACTAGTGATTACTCAGAGGAAGCCTTTGGCCACTGAAGGACAGCCTTCTTTTGCCTATGCATTGTACATAAGGATTCACGTAGGGAGGGTATTCTGCAGACCAAAATTAACCTGTGTACATGCAGTGAGACCTCGTCCTGTAGCTTGAAATGAGAAAAGAACAGTAAAGTATATTTATAAACTTACCTCTATAATCATATCGGTCAGTTCGCCTGTCATACGAAGGTTGTTTAACTCGGGAAGACATCGTACAAGTGTCACTTCGTCCTCAAATGACTGAGTCTCCTGGTTGGCCTCGTCCTGTAGCTTGAAATGAGAAAAGAACAGTGAAGTTTATTTATGAACTTACCTCTATAACCGTTTCGGTCAGTTCGCCTGTCATACGAAGGTTGTTTAACTCGGGAAGACATCGTACAAGTGTCACTTCGTCCTCAAATGACTGAGTCTCCTGGTTGGCCTCGTCCTGTAGCTTAAAATGAGAAAAGAACAGTGAAGTTTATTTATGAACTTACCTCCATCATCATATCGGTCGGTTCGCCTGTCATACGAAGGTTAATTAATTCGTCAAGACATCGTACAAGTGCCACTTCGTCCTCAAATGACTGAGTCTCCTGGTTGGCCATTGAATGCGCAAAATCGGATGGCTAAAAATTCGGTCAGATGTTGTCAACTTTGATAAGAAAAATTAAAAAAGAAAGAAACGCACAACCATTATGATTTCGAGGATTTGTGGGTCTGTAGTAAGCAGCAGTAGGATCAACCCTACACGGAGCATGCAACTTCCTGAGTGAGGCTTTGAGGACCAACAATTTAGAACGGCAGACAGTCTTTCCTGGTGTCAAATACGTGTATATGTATATGCGTATATATGTGTATATGCGTTTTGTAAGATCCAAATAAACACGCGTTTGGCACTCGGACAGTGGCCATAATGATAACCATACTAGAAAATAAACAACTGCCGCTGTTTTAGTTGTTAGTTTGTTGAGTCAGTGTCCTATGCATGGCGTCAGCGGAGCTCACTGATGAACACACCACAGACTGTGCAATTTACCGTATCTTCGGTCGAATACGGCATGCTTTCTCAGAATAATACGTTTGCAACGATTCAGCCACTGACAGACAATCCGTAGTATGTGCGACGGAAGTTGTCATTGCCACCCTTCATTTTATAACCCTCACACAGATTACTAACTTGATAACAAAGTGGCCATCAAGCCTTTAGAAAATAACCCTCAACACGTTACACAGTTTTTAGTTCGTCAGCTCATTATTGACTCAGTTTCCTGTTTTCTAAGAATACGTGGATCAAGCGGGGTATCAGCAGCAGATGCCAACAGCCAACGCACATTGCGGACTTAGATGCTAGTCAGATCCCCGACGGCTGGTAGCCTGCAGTCTTGCCGTTCCCCTTAAGGACAGTTTGTCGACTGCTTTACCGAAAGCCATTCACGAAGTCCCGCCGAGGATAAGCACAAGGCGGGAACTTGAATCAGAGTCGCGGTCTGCATTGCGATTGTGTGTTCCCTGGCTCTCCTAATTCGCTATTCGTATTCGCTATGGTCCTCGCGTTGTACACGTTAATATCTTCGAAAGTCTTATAATTAAAATTTTATAAGACAGTTGAAAAATATAAAGAAAATTAAAATGTCAGGATGGCCCAGGTGGACTACGTGTCACAACACACTACTGTTACATCGGGACGAATGCGATTTAACATCTTAAGCCTGTAAGGCATACACAGTGGTCAACCGATACACAGCAGTCCAGCCGCCACCCCAATAGGGTGGGCGCAACGGCGGTGGCTCACGTGCCGCATTTACCGCACTCCCCATCCCACCTTGCCCCGGTGTCATAAGGACTGAATGGGAGATACGTGGGGCAGCATAAGCCTGCATCCAGGCGCATATTTTTACTTATGTGGCTTTGGTTATGGGTGTGTAGGAGGCGGTAGACAGAAAGAACTAAAGTGTACGCAAGTATGTTGACAGCGCTGCCCTGTCCTGCTAGGCCAAATCACTAAATACTCTTCCTGTTGATGTGTGCAAGCAGTATTCAAGAGAAACCATCCTAGCGGACAATGATTGTGTCTTAAAAGATCTACTCAAAGCTTTCAGTAATCTTTTTTACCGCGGATGAAGTTAGATCTGAAGTCTACGCCAGTATGTTTCTTCGACAGCACGGAAGCCCATCACGTTTAATTTGTTCCCAACCAAACACAAGTGAACCAAAATTGTTATCTGCAAACGCTGAAGCCACAGAGTCAGTCTGTGATTTAAAAGGACATGAATTGTGGCGGTCATGAAACTGGCTGTCCCATCACGACAACGCGTCTGCTTAAAATACCCTCAAAATCAACCAGTTCTGGACAAATGTGCAACGATGTTGTCCTACAATATGAAATGTAACTTACTTATTTACGGTTTTGGTACACAATCGAATGGCTATCGGGCACTGATCTGTCAATTTTGTAAAAGATGCGCTACTTCGAAAATAAATCAAGCAGTTATCTGAGAAATCGAACGGTAATCTAAGCATTGCAAACGCTAGCGCTAGTGTACGATCTGGGAATGCATTGCATCCCTCACCAAACAGTTCGCTCTCATTTGTAATGCTAAGATAACCGAAAATACTTCCGACTTTGATTATATAATACAGATAATATGATAATTGTACGGTTTATACATAGTCTGGACTAAATACATTTTATCCAGATTATATATAATCAGTACATTTAAGTGTTCCATAAAATACTCAAATATCACAACGAAAACTCAACCAAAAACAATGAACATAATCGAGCGGCTTCAAAAAGATGAATGTACGGATAACGTAGGATTAGTAAGCGAAGTACGTGCGAGCACACCGCGCAAGGATCAAGGCGTCTTTCGAAATGCTGGAAGCGTAGGCGACTGACGGCCTTAAGAGTTCAGTTGCAATAAACAAACGAGAACGTAAATTAGCATTCGAGGAAAAAAAGCATCACAAGGTGTATAAAGCTAAGAGCGAAGAAGAGGGTGAAATGTATTACATTTTCAAAGTAGAGTCTTGTTCATTGGTTCAAACAGGCAGTCAGCAATGGCCTGAACACTTTGGACAGAGGAATTGCGCCGATATACAGAAAAGCATGACTACGTCAAACAGTCGATAAAATATTCCACATTTCGTTCGGCGCATGGCAGATTACAAATTAATTTGTTAAGAGTGTGCTGTAATATACAGTAAACCACGAAAAAATTGTTCACTAATTCGTTATAATGCTGAACAGATGAGTACTTTGGAAAATGGGTTTGCCAAGGCGCATAAATATGCTCTGATGGATTGCCCAGTTGCAGAATCTTTCAACACGACAGGTACACAATGAGCGGGCGTTCTAAAAGGCAGTTGTTTCCATCAGTTTGCTTTACACACCCTAGATTAGGATATTATTCATGGTATATATTTTTCCTACTACATCCCACGTACATTTTCAGACACCATCAAGATCTCACTGACATCAGAGTAGTTGGCTTACGCCGCTTTTTGTGAGACCAATGGCGCTTAACCTAAAAGTACGGATATTATGTCGATGCTGCATGCAGGGTCAATTCACATCATTGGGGTGTCGAGTGTTCGAAGATATTTCGTCAATAAAAAAGACAACTGTTCCTTCTAGCTTAATGGTTTTCAAGAGCCAAGTGATAAGCGTTCGTCAATGGGAACCCGCACATGGGTTAAGATGGGTGCTCGTCAAAAATATTATCATTTTACTGTTATGTGAATCGTTGTACTGCGGACCGTGGCACACGCCGCATGATTCTGCTGCATAACTTAAGGGCATGACTCAAAACATCAATTAAAACTGGACTATATTTTTGGGCCTAGCTGGCTTTTTCCGTCTGTTTGCGCACGACTGAAATAAGCGAAAGCCATCTTATCCCAGTTCTACCGAAAACAGTCCACTCGTCATTATATAGTGAAGTGAGTTGACGCGCACTCCTATTATGTCTATGTTCAAGCCACATCGGTTAGTTCACGGACCGTATAACCGACTGCAGTGATCAGATTGATGAAATATACACGCAAAATCAGTTTATAGTGTAAACAGATGCATATTACCGCGTGGCATAAATTCTTTTACACTCCTTATAATCGAGTAAGGTCTGCGAAATATTGTTAGTTTTCCAACATTAAAAGTACTGGAAGGGTCTTGCGCGAGGCGAAAGAACGTATAATGAGATAAGTAAGACAGAAGTGTGAAATAAATCAGGACAACCTTGTGAACCTGTGTAGGTTAAATATTTGAAGTCCGAAGGATCATCATTGGCCCCGCAAGAGGTTCTTAAGATAGAGAATGTGGATATCTGCATAGTTGTTTTTTGGCATATGTAACGAAGATAGGGAGGACCTTACAGATGTACGGATGAAGAGCATGCGCCAATTTACATAACATTTCTGTCAGTCACTTATGCCAAAAGAATATGCGATCATGAAGAAAAAATCGGCGAAGGCTTCTACTGGTGGCCCCAATTTTTGCGCAATGAAAATCAAATTTGGTACAGTTCCCCATCTTTAAACCGCCCGGTTTTAGAGGAAACTGGCTCGCACTCCATATCTGACATCTTTCACTTTTAACTTGGATTGCTGGCCCCGCACAGTGATTGTTCGTACCAGCCCAAAAATATCAAGCAGCAAATTCTGTCTCTACAACGAATTGAGGACAATGCTCAAATCTGGTCTACAATTTTTCTTAGCAAAAATAAATATTTTTAGTTTTTCGGCCTCTCCGATGGCAGAATTTAATTTGGACATGCAACCGCCATACTCGGCGTTATTAGGTGTGAAATATGCTTCTTTAAATAAATAGATAGATCGATAGATAGATAATTTTTATTAAAGACCCGTCGGGGTCCAATCAAAGCAAGTTAAAATAAATTTGCATGCGAGTTTTAGACGAGGTAGGCTGAATCTTTACAAAATGCAATTCATAGTTTCTGAATTAGAAGTCCATTGAGAAACATGAAGATTGAGGGGTGAAAAAAAACTCCTCGGAAAAAGTTAAAAATGATTGGATTAATTTTACAGGAGAAAAAACCCCTCTTTAAAAATACTAACAGAAAAAAAGCGAGCAGGACTGGCCTGTAGGTGGCGGTATATAACGGAAGGTCAATGCTATATGCCATCAAGCGGGCATTCGTAGTTTTCGATGAAGACTGCTTCACCAAACACTTCGGCACGTTTATAAGGCCCCATCTCGAATATGCAATGCAGGCCTGGAGACCGTGGACGCACCAGGATTACGATCTGCTCGAAAGGGTACAGAGGCGAGCCACAAAATTAGTAAGAGGTCAAAGTGCACTGCCATACGAGATCCGCTTAACTTACCTTAATCCCTATCCTCTGAGTTAAAGGCAGTTGCGCGGAGACATGATACAAACTTTCCGTATCGTGCGCGGCTTGGAATGTGCCCTTCGGTACGATGACTTTTGCCAACTCGCCACTACAACTCAGCTCCGGGGACATCCCTTCAAGCTACGTGTGCCACAGCGTAGACTGAATGGGAGAAAATATTTCTTCTCCAACCGTGTCGTGGAACCGTGGAATAACCTGCCCGAGACGGTTGTTATGTCTCAATCTGTGGAGA